GGGGTGGGGGGTGAAAGTACCTTTGCCACCGTAAATTGAAAGGACAACAAGCAAAAATAAACATTCATGAGTGTGACTTAACAACTATGCATTCTGAACACTTGTAAGATATAAATTATAATGTATCTTCTTGTTCTAGTGTAAAATGCAATCATTACTGCTCCAAAACAAAAAGAACTTGCTAATTTTCATCAATACATGCTTCGGATGTCCTTCCATGCTCTGAACTGAGAGGGAGAAGCCGCAGACCACACCTGGGCTCTCAGGAGGAACAGAACCCACGTGCTCATGTTCACCATGCTGCACTTGCTGCCCCTGCCGAGGTGACCGTCACCCTGAGAAACAAGCCACTGCTAGGACTGGCTGGCGATAGCTTCAGCCACCCACCCCCGTGCTGTCTGCTCACTCCATTTAAGCACCGGCTTCCTGAAAACTGCATTAGCCAATCACATCCAGCCTTAAACACCCTCCCCCATGGAGACAGAATGACTGACTGATGGCCCACTCTTGCCTACCCTGAGCTCAGAAGGTCCCGGGGTCACCCAAGCCTGGATGGCACAGAGGTCTCGGTCCTAACCACGACTGCACTTTCAATGGTAAGCAAACCTGCTCTGAGATGTATGACAGCTGACTATTAAAACGGACGGGGCGGGGGGGGGGGGGGTGGGAAGCCCCCCGGTCCCCTCGCACTCAGACCTGAAACTCCAGCTAAGCTCAGACTGAGCTACCTTTATCCTAAGAGCACCTACACGCCAGGTCGCAGGAGATGCCATGCCTCATTTTTGCATAGTGACACAGGAAGGAATACGTCATGACTTTTCTGGGGACCCAATGAAGCGTGCTTGGGAGTGACGCGCACACACACGTGGGTTTACAGTTGCACTCCAGCTGTGACAAGCTGAAGAGCCCAACACACAACACGGAAGAAGATACATACGTTCCTTCTTGATCTTCTCGGCCACCAGGAACTCATCTCTTTCGACAGTCGGGGCGAAGTTGCTGCCGATAACCCGCACTGCGTACTGGAACTGCTGGGCCACGTCCGCTGAAAGGGGAAGACAGGCGCGTGACTACCCGCCAGCGGTCCCCAGGAACCTGGACGGGGGCTGGTTCTGCAGGGCGGGGAGGCCCGGGCCCAGGAGACGCTGGAGTCCACATGGTGACCGCGGTTTGCATCCTCAGCCGGGTCAGCCTGAAACAGCCCGGCACGCGTGGAGGGTCACGGCGGGACAAAGCCCTGCGAGGGGCTCACACGACTCTTACGTGCCCTCTCACAGGTGTGTGCGCGAGCTCCAGCCGGAGGGGGACGAAGCCCAGAGGGGCCGTGCAGCAGCACAATTCCAGATGAAGGTGACGGCCTCACAGTCCTCGCCTGACGCCCTTCCAAACTGCCCAAGAAGGGGCCGGCAGGTGGTGTGGTGGTGGACGCACGCGACTCCCACATGGTCGACTACGGTGTGAGTCCCAGACCCCAGGCTTGAAACTCACACCAAGCACACGTGTGTGCGTGTCCAAAATCCCAAGAGGCGAATGGAGAAGGGACTGCAGTGTGGCCATCCCCCCGGGGGCTGCTTTCTCGCGTCCTGTCTGTCTCTCTAGCGAGCGCACATGCCCTTTGGCAAAAATCTCTCAGAGACAGACAAACTACCAACAAAATACCATTAATGACATTAATATGCCACCGAGAATAAGGGAGTCTTAAGACAAGGTATTTAAAAACGAAGCAAAAGCCTCCAAGGACAGGTAGAAGCAGCACCAGAGAGCAGGGGGCGACGGCGGCCAAGGAGGGCTGCAGTGGGCAGGCTGAGCACGGGAAGGGCATGAGGGCTATCACCGAGGGGAGCCCAGCCCCCTGTAGGCCCAGGGGCTCAGGAAAGGAGGGGCCAGAGGCACGTCCAGGCCTGGAGTCTGGGGTAATCAACCCCAGGTCTCTACCCAATCCCAGGTCCCACTTCCCTGCCAACTGCTGCCAACCGCCAGCCCCACCCCAAGGCAAACCAAAGGGCCTTCAAGGAGCCAACGAAGCTCCCCGCCGCGAACACAGCAGTCAGCGCCCCCTGCAGGAGGACTGATCAGCCAGGGGAAGCCGGATAAGCAGGGGTCCCCAAGAAGCAGACAGGCCACGTGGCCCCTCGGCGCCCTTCCAAACCAACCTGCTCCCCTTCAGCAAGTGGACAGGTACCCCGAACCGTCAAGGGCAGCGCCGACTAACGCAGGGAGGCTTCAGAGGTCGAGCCCACAAACAGCACAAGTTTGAAGGCGGACCACTTTTTAAAAGCAGTAGAAAGCTTGTGTGTGGCGTTGAAGAAGCCCCTCAGTCCTAAAACAAGAAGACAGAGAGGGAAGCGAGGGCAGTGGAGCTGAGAAGAGCATCAGGCCAGGCCGAAAGGAGGGAGGCGGGAGACAGGGAAAACAAGTTCCAAAGAAGTAATACAAGAAAACGTCTCGGGGAACCAGCAGTTAGCGTAATGGCTATGTCGCTGGTCTCCCACGTAGTCGACCGCGGTTCGCATCCCGGACTTGGTGGCTTAAAACACGCTGGGTGCGGGAACCAGCAGTTAACGTAATGGCTATGTCGCTGGACTCCCACGTAGTCGACCGCGGTTCGTGTCCCGGACCCGGTGGCTTAAAACTCACGCCGGGCGCGTGTGCGTGCGTGCCCAAGATCCCGAGAGGAGAATGGAGGAGAAGGGATTGCAGCGTGACCATCCCCCCTGGGGGGTGATTTCTCACTTTCTGTCTCTATGTCTCTCTCTGTCTGGCGAAAAAAACCTCTCCACAAGAAAGAAAGAAAGAAAGAAAGAAAGGAAGGAAGGAAGGAAGGAAGAAAGAGAGAAAACGGCTCAGAGAAGCAGGTCAGCGCCTCGACACGACAAGCTCCCTGCAGAAGGGGGCCAGGAAAGGCGGGGAAGGAAGGGAGCTGGTTACCCGGACAGACGGCCTCCGCAGGCTCAGCAGGGCAGACTCAGGGGCGTCCCAGCCCCAGCACATGCAAGACCTCCCAGAGTCCGGCGTCATCGCACCAAGGCGGGGGTTGGCACCGGTGGGCGTCTGCCGCCCTGCCCAGCAGACTCCATTGGGTCCCAGCCCTGCATGCAGCACAAGGCCAGCTCTCCCACCCAGGGGCGGCCAGTAAGCCAGAGGAGGCACCAAGCAGCCACAACCCAGGCGACGGAGCCCCCTATGCAAAGAGCCACCATCCCAGAGACCAGGACGGGCTCGGTGTGTGCCCCAACCAGCACCGCGCAGACCAAAGGCGAAGAAAGGGCAGGGAGCAACAAAGAACCTAGACCAGCAAAGCCTGGGAAGATGAGAGGTAGGAAGGCAGGGTCGACTTAAAAGAGAAACTTTTGAGGGGTAGCAGGTAGCATGGTGGTTAAGGCGTCAACCTCAGTTCAAGTCCCAGACCTGGCAGCTTGAAAATCACGCTGGATACCCATGTGCGTGTGCCCAAAATCCCGAGAGGAGAATGGCAGAGAGGGGAGCAAGCCATGGTCAGCCCCCTGAAGGTGATTTCTTACTTTCCCTCTCTCTCAGTCTCTCTAGCGAGCATACGCGCCTGTGGCAAAGAAAAAGAACAGGAAGCGTAGAGATGCACCATCTCAGCTAAGACTGAGCAAGCACACGGCGGTCAGCCAGGCCTGACAAACGGCACCTGCACACAGCCGGGGGGGCGGAGAGACCGGGAACGGCCCACTCCGGCTGGTCTAGGTACCGTCCTGCTGGGAAGTGCTGGCGGCACACGGGAACCCCACAACTGCTGCCCTGTAAATCCAGGATCACCCGAAATGAAACGTTTACTTAAAAAAGCCACGCAGCTGACGCAAAACTGAATCTCAACCTCTATTAAACTCCATATGTGAGAATGAACTCAGATTGAACATAAAAGCCCTTTTAGGGGAAGAAACAAAAAACAAAACAAGAAATCTTTGTGACCTTGGGTTTGGCAGTTCTTACACATGACCCCAAATTCACAATCACTTTTTAAAAAACTGATAAAATGAACTTCATCAAGATCAGAAACCTCGGCTCTGGGGAGGGTACTGCTACGAGAAGGAGCTCACAGAAGGGAGAGCACTGCAGAGCGCGTACCTGCCAGTCGGCTCTACCCGGGTACACGAGCACTCATGACACTCAGGAGGAGGGAGCGTTTGGTGTGGCAGGTGAGGCCGGGTACCACATAGCCAACCACAGTTCAAGTCCTAAACGCTGGGCCCATGTGCATGCATGCCCCATCCCAAGGGAGAACGGAGAAGGGACTGCGATGTGGCCATCTTCCCAGGGGGGATTTCTCACCTTTCCTCTCTCTGTCTCTGTCTCCCCCCCCAAGTGAGCACACACACTCTTTGGCAAAAAAAAAAAAAAGTGAAATTAAAAAAAAAAAAGATAAAACATTAGCAAAGGTTTCAAACAGGCAATCCCCCAAGATGTGTGAATGGCGAAACAAAACGATCCACACACCTGAAAAGAAGTTCAAAGTCACAAGGGAAACGAAGCGAGGCCACAGCGAGGCCCAGTCAGCCGCAGCGGTGCCAGCGGGGAGACACCAGTGCTCGCTGGCCAAGGCTGCAGGGGCCCAGGCTGGGTTCCCACCCAACGAGGACAGACTGGGAAGGCGCCGCAGTCCCAGCCCTCCGGGGTGGGGGCCAGAGATACCAATGTGGTGAGGCCCCGTCCACAAAAGCACGCCGCAGTGAGCTGCCACGACACACGGCTTAGAAAGGCTGGGCGGACACAGCCCAGCTAGAAGAGGAGTTAAACACATGCCGACCAGCGGTCCAGCTGGCAGCACCGGGGCAGACCCCGTGCACGCCACTTTCAGCAGCACAGCCACGGCCGCCACTCGGCAAACACCCCGCCGTCTGGCGGGGAGACAGGCAAACGCACCATGGCGTGTCCACACGATGGAACGCGAGCTGCTGCCTCACCACAGGGATCTTGATGCGTTTGCCAAGGGCAGGAACCGAGTCCCTGCAGCCCCACGTCTGCACAGCTTTCTGGAACAGACCACCACAGCCGGTGGAGGGACAGCAGTGCGAGGTCGTGGGGACACTAGCAGCACTGGGGGACTTTTAAAACTAAGCTGGGCTGGGCTGGGCCAGCTGGCGGTGTGGTGGTGACGGCAGCTGGTCCAGCGCGGTCTGAGTCCCAGACCCGGACCCAGCGGCTCGAGAAACACCAGGAGTAGAGGAGACTGCGGCATAGCCATCCCGCCCGGAGTGATTCCTCAAGTTCGTTCTCTCTCTCCCTCTCCCCCTCTCCCTCCCCCTCCCTCCCTCCTCAGCGAGAGCATGTGCCCTATAACAAAAACTAAAAAGTAAAACAGGCTGAGTAGCAGAATGGCGATACTAAACAACAAACTACGTTCAAGCAAGAAAATCCAACGCAACAGCTGACAGACCTATTAGAACGCAAGAGGAAGAACAAGAGGAGTAGTAGCAATCTTGGACAGTTAAAAAAAGTCCTCACATTAAGGGATCATTAGGTGTTAGACCCGATGAACTTCCAACTCCCATACCCAGACACATTACGGATGTTACAGCAAAGCTTGCGAACACAAAGGATGAAGAGAAAGTTCTGGAAGCTGCCACAATCCCTGCCAAGGACTGAGACGCGAGGGGACCAGCAGTTAGCATAATGGCTATGTCGCTGGATTCCCACGGAGTCGACCGCGGTTCGCAGCCCAGACCCGGTGGCTTAAAACTCACGCCGGGTGCGTGTGCATGCATGTCCAAGATCCCGAGAGGAGAATGGAGAAGGGATTGCAGCATGGCCATCCCCCCTGGGGATGTCTCTATATCTCTCTCTCTGTCTGGCGAGCACACACGCCCTATAGTGAAAATCTCTCCAAAAAAAAAAAAAAAGAGAGACACGGTCAGCCCGCCATTGGCTCGGGCCCACGCAGAGCTCGGGGGACCAGAGTGCACCCCGTCCTGCCTCCCCCACCTGATGGCAGACCAGCAACCCAGCAGCCTCGAAGGCTGCAAGTAGGCCCCAAACACAACCCTCCATGGCTACCGCCCCACTGCAGCAAGGTCACACACAGCAGCAGGCGGCACACACAGCAGCAGGCAGCAGACCTGCCAGGACACAGCCCATTCCACGGCTCGGCTCGGCTGCCATCAGGCTCAGAGTCCAGCCCTATGGGGAGCCACAACCGGCCTTCCCTCGGCCTCCGGCCTCAGCCACCTCAGGCACACAGCAGCCACAGTTTGCATCCCTGCTGTTCCTTGACCACACCGAGCTCCCTTCCAGCTCAGCGCCTGGACACTCCACACTGAATCGGCTCCCGTCTCGATGCCTGCCTCGCTAACACTGTGTGGTCTTTCTGGATCACTGCCAGGTAAATAGAGCTCCCCAAAATCGCTGAGAACCCCAAAACAGTTTTATGTAGGTTGTATTGAATCACAGTGACATTATAAAATCTAAACCAAGACAATTCAAAAATACTAATCTAAAAATAATAAACCCATAAAGTACAACTTTTTAAATGAAACCTGAAACATTAAAGGGTTAATACATTTTTAAAGCACATTTTAATATACATTTAATAATTTTTTTTAAGGATTTTACCATAGGGTGCATGCACTTGTCACAGAGAGAGACGGAAAGTGAGAAATCACCCCTAAGGGGGCAGTCACACAGAAGTCTCTTCTCTGGTCTCCACTTGGGATTCTGGGCATGCATGAACAAGTGCCCTGTGTGATCTTAAAGCCACCATGTCTGGGACTCAAACTGCAGTTGGCCACGTGGGAATCCAGCACTTTAACCTCCACGTCACCTGCAGGCCCCAGTACACCTAACGCACATTTAACACACACTGATTTTCCCAAGAATGCAATAATCACATGAGAAAGGAAGATCACGTTTGGGACTTCATCCAGAACGCTTCACCATTTGGAAAACCATGAAATTGACAGCGACACCACCAGTGGGGCTCGGCACAAGGCGGCACCACCTGTGTGGCCGGCTTCCAGTCTGCGGCGCACACAGGGCATCTTGCTCAGAGTACTGTGGACTGCAGTCATGCCTGCGCACTCACGCTGAAATGCTCACCTGCCGCAAAGGCTCTAGAGTGTACCGAGCCACCACGGAGAGTCCTTTGCCTCACACAGAATTGAAGCCCTCGGACACCAAGGACAAGAATAATGACTACCCAGAGACAATAGTGAAACGTGCTCCCAGGAAGGGCAGGCAGCTGGGGACAGCATTTTCCTACCACTGGCCAGCCACACGTTTCCAGCAAATTCACAGGGGTGGAGAAACGGGAAACAATGGTCATGATAACCTCACAAATTGTGAGAAACTTGCTCCAAAGCCAACTGTGTATTTAAAAAAACAAAAAGGTATCTTATGAAAGTCTGATTCACATAAAATTCACATTGAGGGCCAGCACAGGGTGTGGTATTTAAGGTGCTGGATCCCGCATGTCCGACTGTGCAGTTTGAGCCCCAGATAAGGCAGCTTGAAAATCACACTGGGGTGATTTCTCACTTTCTCTCCTTCTCTGCCTCTTTCTCTGGTGAGCACACACGCCCTATAGCAAAAACAAACAAACAAAAATTGTTGGACCACGAGCCTGACGGTTAAGGGAAACAGACCTTCCAGTCTGAGTTCCAAACCATGGAAAGCATGCCCAAAACCCAACGGGATAGAGTGGAGTAAGGGCTGCAGCATGCCACCCCCACGGACCAGTGCAAATATAGGTCTTCTGTCAAATTAAAAAAGAAGTTGTATATTACTCCTTGATTTTACAGTATCATAAAAGCAATATAGGGACCAGTCTGAAGCATGGTGGCTAAGGCAGCTGGATCCCACATGGCTGACCAAGCGGTTCAAATCCCAGACTCAGTGGTTTTAAAAATAAAATGGACGTGTGTGTCTCCAAAATCGCAAGAGGGAGAGGTGGAGAAGGGATGGTGGTGTGAGCACGTCCCACGGTGGGGTGGGGTGCTCTCTCTCTGAGGTGAGTGCATGCACCTTCTGTAGATACACACTATTTGCAATACGTCATTAGAAAGTAATGAGTCAAATGTTCTATAGAGTTATCAATAAATGTCTACTAAAGACACGAATATTTCTAAATGTCAAGGACCAAAAGGCAAGCAATTAATATTGCTCCTTTCTCATTAAGGCAGAATAAAAATAGAACAAGATAAGTTACTGGATACTTACAAATTCTTCAGAAAGTAGGAGCATAATTTTAAACTATGATTATCATAAATGTTTGGCAATTCTAGCTATCTAGGACATAGCAAAGAGGATATCATGGTTATAGACCTTGTCGTGTGTACACAGTAACACACACTCTTCAGAGAGGACCCTCTGAGCTGTCGCTGAGAGTCTACGTATTCTTCATTTGGAGCAGCTCTAGGTGGGGAGGCGGGAGCATACCGAACTTTGCTCAAGAGAAACAGTCCCCAGGAAGCAGTGACTTTATGCCAATCCAAAGGAGCCTCCACATAAATCATTTTTAAGTTCAGGAGGGCCCAGCAGGTGCCGTGAAAGTTAAAGCAACTGGATCCCACATGGTCAGTTAAGCAGTTCTAGTCCCAGACCTGTTGACTTGAAAATCCAACCAGGCACGTGTGCATGCATGCTCAAAATCCAGACTGGAGAATGGAGAAGGGACTGTGGTGTGGCCATTCCCCCGAGGGTGATTTCTCACTTTCCTTCTCTCTCCTCACTTTCGCTCTCTCTTCACTTCGACTCTGTTTCTCTCAAATGAGCGCACATGCCCGATAACAAAATAAATAAAATCTTTCAAAAATGTAGTTGAGGAGTATCATTCTAGGTCACAATGAATGACTTTGAAAATGCAGTTTCGACAAGGGGAAACCACTGGTAAGAACAATGCTGCTTTTAGAGTGGAGAAGTTGTAACGAAGGATCTCAGTTATCTTAGCTTCTCCGAGGGCTAGGAATTTGAGATGGAAACAGTAACTCAGTGTGCTAGTGACAGAGACTGAAGACACCAGGCCAACTTAGCCACCCCAAGGCCCCCCACACGCGGCTCTCTGCCCAGAACCTCCCTCACTGCCTCAAGGAGTCCGGGCCTCACTCAGGCAGTCTCTAACCACCAAGGAGGGAACCTCGCCCCGCCTGCTGTGTCCCTTTACCATACGTCTGCATCATGGCTCTTGTCACTCATGAACATTACTTTTACTTCTTTTTTAGGTTTTTGCCACAGGGCACAGGTGCACACAGGAGAGACAGAGCCATGGCAAGTGAGAAATCACCCCCACTCCCTCCCCATTCCTGGGGAGTGTCCACGATGCAACCCCTTCTCCTGGGATTTTCTGGGCAGGCATAGGCACTCCACTACTTTCAAACTGCAAGGTCCTGGAACCCAGAATGGCCAAGTCGCAGTCGGGCCTAGACCGCCACGCCACCTGCTGGGCCCGCGGACACTACATCGTTATAAACCTCCACTAGAATGCGGGTCTGGGGCAGGAGTCTAGTCCGGGTATTTCTGCGGCACCAGCATGCAGCTCCTAGGGGAGACTCAAAGTTCCTGGGCGTCAAAGATTTCTCTAAATGAAGGAATAAAACGTTACAAAACGCGGCAAGAGCGGTGTGAAGCCAGGCCCCGAGTGACACAGAACGACGCATCTCTCCCCGACGTTATCACAGAACTTGGCTGTCATGGACCGCAGGTCAACACGCGCTCTCAGTATTTTAAATGTCACTTGCTTAGTCGTCCCGCAAAATCCCATCACCTGTTCCCCACACTCTGCTTAAGCACTACGTTACCCCGTCCTCCTCACCCAGAAAACGCCCTGCGGGGCCCCGCTGCCCGCACCGACCCTCCCCGGACGTGGGGACACCTGCGGCGCTCCCGGGGGCCCCGTGGCTGCAGGGAGCGTCCCAGACCTCTGGCCACCCAGTGGGCCCGGCCAGCGCCCTCCACGGGGCACGGGGTCGCGGCCCCCCTGTAGGCCCGCGCGGTCAGCCTGGCCCGGCCCGCACCCTCCGCCGCCCCGCCC